CAATGTGCAATTTAGTTAGCAGCTGATTGAAATTATCCCCCCAGGGCACAAATGACTTCAATATCCCTAGTTTTGATTACAAGTATTTTTTTTGTATTGGGACAAGTAAAATGTCATGAGAGACAAGTAGATTCAGCCCCCACTTTAGCCCTCGGACAAGTAGTTTTTTCTTTAAATGTGTGTATTGTGTTGTACGTAGTGAGTGAAGTCCGAAGTATAACAACTGGGGGTGTGCCTGTGCTGTGAAGCCTGTTGCGCACTGCACGCGGAGCTGCGCACAGCAAAGGGAAGCGGTGGTGCGCAGAGCTTGGTGTTCAGTGTGTCTAGCAATATCTTGTTAATATGCTTGGTAAGGTTTTCCCTGCTCAAGTTCTTTGTGTGACATATGCCAGGGAGGCCTGAGTGCATTGCCTTTTTTTTAAATCCTTTTTTTTTTCTTTCTAGGGATATTTTGCTTTTGGTACTCGTCTATACAGAGTATCTGTGCTTCTGTTGTCATGGAGCAGGCTTCCCAGGCAATCAGGAAGCCGGGCAGCGGGTAATGACATGCTACCCGGCTTCCTGATTGCCGGGGAAGCCGCCTCTATGTTGTTTGGCCGGAAAACTGGCTTCCTGGACAATAAGGAAACCGGGAGGCGGGTCATTAGCCGCTTCCGGATTGCATGGGAAGCTGGCTCCATGTTCCCCTACGGCACTGCCGGTCAGAGAAAATCTTTCTCTGACTGGAAGTTCCGGTATTGGGGAAGGTATCGGAGCATTTGGGCGAGTACAAGTACTCACCCAAATACTCTGTATCCGTACATCCCTAATCAAAACTGTATTTGACTGTGCGCTGCTCATTGGTCACCTGACCATGCTGACCAATGAGTGCTTGCAATTTACAAGCAAAATTCAAAATGCATAGGGCAGGACTGCGCTGGCCAGAAGTACGGGGTACAGATAGTACACCTGTACTGGCGGAGGGAAAGGACTGTTCGCCGAAAGGCAATTATAGCCAAGCCAGATTTGATTGGGTAATTAAATTTTCCCATATTACCTAGGAAATGGAACTTACCCGTTAAGGCACATTGTGCATGTAGGAGAGTTCTGCTGCCTGGCTACCACAATATGGCACACAGTGGGATGGTTGCAGCACTCAACGCGCACACACACAATGTCCTACGTGTGCGTTTATTTGCATGCAGATAGCAGGGCTGGTTTTAATTACTTTATCACTTTTATTTTTTTAAATTTTTATATATTTTATTATTTTGTTTACTTTTTTTATTATTCATTTTTACTCTTTTTCTCCATTTGATTTTATTCCCATCACATAGAGCAGTGATTCTCAACCTTTCTAGGGCCGGGACCCCTTGGTAACATTTGCCAAGTTGTGGTGACCCCCAACGGTAAAATTTAGGGTTGACGTGGCTGCTGCAGCGACATCTGGCGGCGTGGCGGGAGAACTGACACTGCTGCGCTAGGAGACGGCTGAGGAGGACTCTCACGTAGCACAGCAGAAATCACACAGCGACTCACAGGTTGAGAACCACTGTTGTAACAGCTAAAATGGCAAACAATATAACACAAGCCGAGGGTGTCAGCTTTTATTATTAATATTATAATAATGATGATAATCACTAGATGGGGACCTGATGGAGAACTGCAGGTCCCCCTCTGCTGATTGACAGCAGCAGTGGGCTGGTGCAATAGCTAGTTTGCTATTGCAAAGTGAAATAGCTAATAGGAATGTAGCTATGCATTCCAATGCCGATTTATTTTTTCTGACTTACGGCGGCCGGGGCTCCGATGTCAGAAATAAAATTTAAAAAACGATCGCAGAGAAAGGTTTATCTGCTCGATCGGGAGAAAGTGTTTCTCTCCCGGGCGGCCGGGAGCCGCTATCTAATAGCGGGAGACTCCCGGCGACCCCTGGCAAATTGTCATTCGACCCCCAAAGGGGTCCCGGACCACAGGTTGAGAACCGCTGACATAGAGGCTTAAAAGCCTCTATGTGATAGTTTGGAGGCGACAGGTTCTCTTTATGGAACCTGCCCTCCTACACAGAACAAATGTTATGTGCAGTTCCTGACAGCTGAGACAGGTGGCTCTGTCATTACAGCGCTCCGGTCTCAGTGATCACACAGAGCAGACAAAGAACAGACGTTCTTCGTCTGCTCTACAGGCTCTATGGTGTCATGGTCACTGGTCCCACAGAGGAGCGGACGACCCCGAAAACCAGTGGCGGCTCCACGCTGTAAATTTAGCTCTGCTTGTCCGGAGCAGGGTTAAATGTACAAAAAAAAACCCGGCGCCCAAAACTGCATGTCCCGGGCGATAGGAATGCCACACCCCTGCGGGAGGGACAGGTGCTGCGTTTGCATGCAGCAGCCTGTTCTTCCCTATGGGAGGATGCAGCTGTATGGTGTCTCCTACGGACAACCGAACTGCACATCCGTACGGGTATGGGTGCCCATACTTGGACGCAGACAGGATCCAAACACACCCCCCGTATACATACTGCCATCCAGTGCATCAGTGCGCCATCGATTTGGAATTTCGTTTACAACTTGCGGGCACTCGGTCAGTGTGTTCCCTTGTTCCCCTGACCGCACTGACTAATTAGAAGCAAGTCTTTGCACAGATAAATACAGCTTTGGTCAAAATTATTTTTTTGTATCAGGACAAGTAGATTGCCATGGGGGACAAGTAGATTGGGCCCCAGCTTTAGGCCTTGGACAAGTAGTTTGTTTTTTTTACATTTCAACACCCCTGTATACTAACAGATTTTACAGACAGATCTCTGCTTAAAAACACAAGTGGCAAGTGCAAATGAAGCCTAAGGCCCCGTTCACATTGAGCGATTTATCGCGCGGTAATGCGGTAAATAGCCGCTATATTGCAGGAATTACCGCGCAATAAATCGCTCAATGTGAACGGGGCCTAAAGGCTAGCCCTACATCTTCTTTCCGGTGGGGTTTGGCATTGCCCACCAAAGCTCTCCTGAGGAGCAAAAGAATCAAGATAGCTACAGTTAGGTGTCACAGTGGCTGTGAGCAGCATTGGGAATCTTGCTAGACTTTGTAGTAGAAAAGTGCAGAAAAATAATGCTCTCTCAGAGCAGAGAGAAAGACATCCACTGCGTAATAGCGCCAACTGAACTTTTGCACACACATCTAAATGATTGAAAGCACAGATTCAACTATCAAATGTCCCCATTATGTATACAATAGTCCATAAAAAGTTTCGACCACAGTTTCGACCACAGTTAAAAGTCCATCTATGTATATGAAAACAGTTTAAAAAAAAGCTATTGCATTACAAAATGATACCCGTTTTTTGTGGGGGGTTTTGGCACAAGACTTATCACATCCCATTAAATATGTAAACTTTTTTTTTTAGTTTTGGATAGAGTAGGGAAGGATTAAACCCTTGTCAGTTTATTTTTGCCGTTTGCAAACTATTAGAAAAGTTTCACTTCAATTTCTGTCACCGAAATTAGAGGAAACACCCCAAAGTGAAAAGCAGAACACCGGAGAGAAGCTGATGAAGCAGATCTCTGCTTCATCAGCTTCTGTGGGGGTCCCTAGGTGACATCAGAGGTCTTGGAGACCCCTGATGTCTCCATAAAGAGGACCTGTTTGGTGAACTGGCTATTCCATAGGGGATTTCTTAATCCCCTATGTTATAGCAATAAAGTTGTCTAAAAAAAGACAAAAAAAAAAAGATTACAGCATTAAAAAAAAATAAAGAAGCTAAAAAAATATTCACAAATAATTTTAAAAAATTACATAAAAAAGATTGGCATATTTAGTGTCTATTTACCCGACGTGACCCCGTCTTTTATATTATACCGAAAAATTGGGGTGAAAATAAATGTTTCATAACATTTTATAGGGAAACATGTTTTATTTACAAAATTTATGGTACTTTTTTTTGTTATATAGTAAAAAATAAAAACCCCAGCGGTGATTAAATACCACCAAAAGAAAGCTCTATCTGTCCCCAAAAAATGGTATAAAACTCATTTCAGTACAGCGTTGCATGACGGAATAAACGTCAGCCAAAGTACCGCAGCGCTAAACACTGAAAAATGGCCTGGCCAGGAACGGGGTGAAACACCGCGGTCTTCAAGTGGTTAATATGGTAATCTGTCACCAGGACACCAACTGAGCATGAATCTTCCAGAGGGGACACTTGTTGCAGCAACAATCTTACACTTCCTGTTGTGTCATTGGGACAAGAAGTGAAGGAAAATCTATTTTTAGCCCTTTCGTACACTATTAAAACTACAAAAAAGGCTTTAGATACACTTTAAAGAATTCCAGGGGAAAACGTTATTAACCCTTGCAGTGGGGCTACCACCACAATGCAAGGGTTGATTGGTCATTTGTGTCTAGGTGCTAAACAAAATGGTATACTCACCCAATCATCAAGTTGGTCCCTAGAACCTCTTTCACCCTCCACTGCAGCGGTCTAAGAATCTTTGTGTTATCACGTTCTATACAAGTCTATAACCGTGAGGACGCAGAGAAACAGTCCATCTGTGCAGTAGAGGAAGGGACACTCTTGAGTGACCAGAAAAGCAAGGAGTCAGCTCGGCAGTTCCAGTGAGTATAACTTTTTCTTTTAAAGACCTAGACACAAACCAGCAGTTAACCCTGCTAGCCCCACTGCAAGGGTTAAGAAAATGTCCACCAGAGTTCTTTAACTTTTCATTGGCCCCATAATTCCCATTACACCACCAAGCTAAGTCTAATGTAGGTCTAATTAGGCAACCAACAACTAAGCACATAATGCATTCAAGTGCAAGCAAACCAGGTATATTGTGTGGGCTATATAGTAGAGTTAAGAATCAACAGGCCACTTGCACAACACCCACACGTCGCCATCCTACAGGCGGCAGTTCAATACCAGCTAAAACTGCATTCACTTCTACGGCCCTTTCAACACATCCCAAAGCTTGCCATACCATAGAGCTATAAAACCATGAACAGACATATAGAACATGCTCTACATACGGTGTTGTCTGGATCTCTCCCTGACGTCAAGCCGAATTCAGTGACGTCCACCGCAGGCTCAAGACCCAATTCTGCCGCCTGAACCGAACCCGCCCTACCAGGCCCTAGTAATGACGTCATCAGCCGCCTACCATTCGGATTATGGGAAAAGAAACAATTCACGGATAAGCCAATCCGTGTGTTCGTTGTACAAAGACGGGAAGAAGGAGGCGGGTATAGACGTCATATTGCTGAGATTGCGGGAGGGGGTGGAGTAATACACATTTTGAAGGCGGAAGATAGGTAGAGACCATATAAGGAAGTGTTACTCATTTTACAGAACTTCTGTAGTTCGTGCACTTTTATTATGTTAGGAGGGGGTAGAGTCGGTAGGTAGTGCATGTTACTAGTTGATTTGCGAGCTATGGAAAGCTTTTGGGCAAGAAGCATATAGCATGCTTTGATCGGAGTTTGGGTGTCTTTTAATTCCGGATTTAATAGCAAACCCGGCCAATGGAGACTAAGGGACCCAGATATCTAAAAAAAAATGCAGTACAGCTGCTTTTTGTATGTAAACACAATAAAACGCAGTCAAAGCCCTAAACACTATGCTTGTGAGGCAAAACTGCTTAGTTCCCTGCAGTGTTCTTTGTTTTCCTTCATGGCTAATGTCAGCTTTTTTTTTTAAATTATTATTGCTAGAGTGGGCTTGGGCCCTTGTTGGGTTTTCACTGACTGGGTTGAATAGACCCTGCAATAACGGGGGGATCTCTGCTGGCCACAGACACTGCAGCAACTAACGTTTAGTAAAATGGAGAAGGTTAGAGAAGTCTTCCTAAGAGAGGCCCTTTGCTGATCTATAACTGTCCTTTATTGCACTGTAACTCCCACTGACACCATCAACGGGGCACTATTTCTGTCACTGACACCATCAACGGGGCACTATTTCTGTCACTGACACCAACAATATGGCACTATTTCTCCCACTGACACCAATAATGGGGTACTATTTCTTCCACAACCACCAGTTATTTGGCACTATTCCTTCCACTGAACTGTGGGGGAGAAGTGCGTTTGGGGTGCCATTCAAATGAATGGCAACGCAGCTGCACCAGAATGTGTAGTAGGTGCGTTTGCGTTGTACAGTGCAGTAATGGCACAGGCCTCAAACACACTGACAAACATAATCTCACACATATACTGTACACACACCCACAATTTTTTTTTTATTTTAAGATCCACCCAGTCTCCCTATCTCACGAGAACTGGAGTGGATCCTCAGCCTGGGGACCAGTGTGGGCTGCTGTGATGGAGCTCCATCCATGCATGCATTGCTTGTACAGCTCCCTTGTGCACCCTGTAGAAGTGCTGGGAACCAGAATATGACCTCACTCTTGTCCAGACACTGCTGTAGGACACATGAGGGAGCTGTAAGCAATGCATATATGGATGGAGCTCACTAGCGGCCACAGCTCCAGCCTACTTCACCTCAAGCTAACACTCAGCGCTGGGCAGCATATTTCAAATGGCTGCTTGGCGTGAGAACTGACAGTGCTGCGCCAGGGGGAGGCTGAGAAGCCTCTCACCTAGAGAAGTGGAAGGCTTGCGGCGACCCACTGAACACGAGGTCACGACCCACTAGTTGAGAACCAAGGGTCTAGGATTGGCCCTTTTGTTAAAATGTTTAAGGACCCTTGGATTAGAGCCTCAGACAGGTTATTATTGCTGTCAGTGTTTTCCTGTCCTTGTGACTGTCATGGTAACCATCACCTAGAGTCAGAGGTGTATATATATATAAATGGGTAAGCCATATATACATATATATATATGTATATATATATATATATATACACACACACACACACACATACATACAGTTTCGGGGCACATTCCACCCTGTATTGCGACGCAGCACATAAGCACTATATAGCAATACAGCACAATCATACTAATAAATTACATTCACCCTGCAATGTAATGCCTTAAGTGTAGAGCAAGAACAAGGGTCCTGAGCCCTTCACGCCATTCATGACACCGCTTTACCCCTTCCTGAATATGTGGTCTGTAGGATCCACCGCAAAATACCTTGCAGTGCAGTGTCTGACGGGCAGTGCTAGAGCAAAACCCCCAGTTCAGCACGTCCTACATGGCACCACGACAAACAACTTCTGTACATTAACCCTCAAAAAGCAAAAGGTGTGATGAGGGATAGGGAAGGGGTATGAGTGAGGGGAAAGAGTTCACAGGCCCGAAGCTTTATTGAAGGACACAGACACAAAAAGTAGAGGGGGGGAAGTTAAAATCTTCTCAGACGTCCTCTTCTGTGATCCTGTATCCACGAATACCGCAAGTCTGATCCAGGTAGTAAATGACAGCCTTCAGCCTGTTGGCCAGTACCTTGGTGAGAATCTTATAGTCCACATTCAAGGGAGATGGTGCGCCAATTTTTCAAGTTACATCTCTCCACCTTCCGCTTATAGAAGATCATGATCATCCCCTCCCTCAGCAAAGGAGATATTCTGCCTTCCACCACCATCTCCTCATACAGCTTAACCAGGTCCAGGCCAACAAGATTCCACAGCGCTACATAGAGCTTTGCTGGTAAACCGTCGTAGCCCGGGATCCTACCCCTCCTAAAGGAGTGCAGCTCCTCCAACGTCAAGGGAGAGTTCGTGCAGATCTGCTACCTCTCTCTGGGCCAGTTCACACCACAAGCACTATTTTTGCAGATCGCACAGGACCAGTACGCAGGCACTATTGTGCCTGTGTTCCGGATGTGGGGGCGATCACACTGCAGGGGGGGCGTGGCTTGCGGTGCCATTGACTTCAATGTATCGCCCCGCCCCTGAACGCAGGGAGCCGGCCGGCTTGCATTTCAGTGCACTTCAGAGGCCGAACTCTCTGGAATGCAGACTTTGTGGTGTGAACCGGCCCTCTCTCTTTCTTGGCTGTCTCTCTCCTGTCCCTCTTCTCTCTCACTGCTGTCTCTTCTTACCTGCACTGCAGCAGTTTCCCTAGTCTCCTCTCATGGGTGTTGTCCTGTCCTCTGGCGGCGTTCGTGTGGCTGATGCTGCAGACAGGGAGAGGTGTCCCGCCCCTTCCTGTCTGCAGCATCTGACACATTTAGCCACACTAGCACCACGGGAGGGAGCTCAGGTCAGTGAGCCGATCACGATGTACCAGTGTTCGCTTTGCGATCGATTGGTAGATCGCAATCGACCTAATGGGCACCCCTGATATAAGCATTAGTGGCCTATGAGCATCTGGCTGACTTGTTGCACTGGTGAGACCCCACAGAGCCCTGGTGAGACATCAAAAAGCCCTGAGTAAACCAGGGCTCCGCAGGATCTCGCCAGGGCTCTGTAGGGTCTCGCCTTGGCTCTTTAGGGTCTCGCCCTGGCTCTGTAGGGTCTCGCCTGGGCTCTGTAGGGTCTCACCACCCTGGTTAGACCCCTCAAAGAGCCCTGAGGTTAACCAGGGCACTGTGGAGTCTCACCAGGGCTCTGTCTGGTCTCACTAGGGTGAGATGCGGTTTCACCAGCACAAGGTCTCTGTAGGGTTTTACCAGGGCTCTGTGCGGTCTCACCAGGGCTCTGAGAGGGCCTCACCAGGGTAGCAGGGCTCTGTGGGGTCTCACCAGGGTGCTGTGAGGTCTAACCAGCCTTGTTAGACCCACAGAGCCCTGGGGAGACCCCTCAGAGCACTGATGAGACCCCACAGAGCCATGGTTAAACCAAGGCTCTATAGGGTCTCCCCAGGGCTCCGTGGGGTCTCACCAGCACCAGGGCTCCGTAGTCTCTCACCAGGGCTTCATGGGGTCTCACCATGGCTATGTGAGGTTTCACCAGCCTGGTTAGACCCCTCAGAGCCCTGGTGAGACCCCCACAGAGCCCTGGTTAAACCAGGGTTCTGTAGAGTTTCACCAGAGCTCCCAGCGTTCTCACCAGAGCTCTGAGGGGGTCTCCCCAGAGTAGCAGGCCCCTGTGGGGTCTCACCAGGGCTCTGTGGGGGTCTAGCCAGCCTTGTTAGACCCCACAGAGCCGTGTGAGACCCCACAGAGCTCTGGTTAAACCAGGGCTCTCACCTGCTTTCCAGGGGGCTCGCCATAGGCCTCTCCAGCCTGCCACTCCAGTACTGTGCGGTGCTGGCCGCATCTTGCGGACGGGAGCGTGCAGGACGACGTCTCCATCAGCTTCTGAAGTTAAACTCCGCCCTCCCAGCCAGAGATCCTCGTACGGTGGATGGGTGGGGTGAGGTCTCTTCTTATTAGCTGGTTGGCGGAGCTCCGTCCAGAATACCGAGTTATGGTCCGCACAGACGATCGAGGAAATGGATGAGCTCTCAGCCATGTCGCTGTCAAACTGAGAGTCTGAGTTTGACAGCGACAGGGCTGAGAGCTCACAACATTACCTGGCTGCCGTTCCGGCAGGGCAAACTAGGCAGACGTGAGGCCTTCGGGAGCGCGAGGCCTAAGGCGACCGCCTAATTTGCCTAATTAAAGAGCCGCCACTGGATCCAGCCTTCCTTCACTTAGATTTTATCTTTGAGTGTTTGAGATTCATCCTAGCTACCCCAACTTTTGGGTAGCTGTTTTAGTAGTTGTTTCCCTTCTTCTTCCTGTATGTACAAGAAAATGGATGATCATCAGCACTCAGGAAATATCGTTCAAATCTTAGTGTTCATTTATTTGAAACACATCACATATGTCAGTTAATCAACGTTTCGGGGGCCACACAGGGTCCCTGGATCAGGGCAATAGAGTAACAATGTTATAACGTGCAATACACATATATATTCCCAGCATAAACTAACATTTTCAGTATATTGTATTGTAATAAGGAGCACCATCAATGGACAAACATTGAAAAAGTAAAAATACAAAATTAATAAATATTCATGTATGAGGGGTTAAAATTACAAAATTAAAAGAGAACCATAGGGTAAGTGTTTTTTCCCATAGTTCTCTTTAGGGTCACGGGAGGACATATACTAACCTCCTTTCGCGACCCAAAGCTCAATATATAGCATGCTATTAGCCGCATTATACTGAGAGCGCCGCAGCCGGGACAGATCCCGACAATACTGTCGTGAACCACCCAGCTGCTTGAGTGACAGCTGGCTCTGCCTATCTAGAGGCAGAGCAGGCTGTGCCAGCCCCCTCCCCTGTT